TATATATATATATATATATATATTAAATATCATAATAATTACATTATAATTATATATATGAAAAATAAGTATTTCTCAAATAGAATCTACATAAAATTAGTTATTATAATTGAAATTGAGTTTGTGTAAAACTTTATATATTAATGAAAAAGGCATACTAATTTGGCTTTTTTAGAAAAGAGTAAATCTTTAGCATGTGCCACATAATTAAGGGAAAAACACTACTTTATATATATATAAACTAGTGAGGGGCCTGTGTGCAAAGTACGCTAGCTAATGCCCATTAATGAAAGGAGATAATAATATTATTTTGTTAATAAATTTTTTTTTTTTTTTTTTGAATGTGAATGAATGGATGAACATGGATGGAAAAAATGAAATGAAATTAAATGAAAAACACTATGGACTATTAAATGTGACAACAAATGAGGGGGCATCTTGCATCTGGAAAGTTCAATAGCTTTTGAGATATAACAACAACTTCTACTTTGTGGTCTGTAAAAACAATCAGCACACATGCTCTTTTTTTGATTTTGAGAATAGTACTATAAAAATTAAGTCCAAACTAGGGTTGTAGCAGTAAGTGGCTTAATACCCATTATAAGTAATATTGGATAATTTACTTGCAAAAACACTAAGATATGTTACAAAAGTAATATTGAGTTGTGTCTAGCACATTTTAGTTCCAAACAACCAACAACAAAAATATATTACAAACCAAACCACCTGAGCCACACCAAACCAAAAATATGTCACATTGTAGTCATATGTTACAAAAATATTATAGTGTAGAGCATTTTTTCTAGAGAGATTTTGTAGAGGATACACTTGTTTCAGCAGAAATATGAGAGGCATAATTTGTATAAACAGCAGCAGCTGAAATATCAGAAGCAACATTTGTACCAACAGTTGATGGAAACAGTTCTTTCTTTTCTTTCGGTTCTATTGGGACAGATTGTTGATGTGGTTTTGAAGCAAGAGTTATCATGGAGGGTTCTACAGCATCATTGTTCACTGATGTGATGACATGTTGAAGCATTACTTGCCCACAGAACTGATATTGTTGCAGGCTTTAGTTGAATAACGTGATATTCTGGCACATTCAATTTTGGAAGGGCTTCATTTGAAACTTTTCCATCTTGCATAATATATGTAGAATATTTTAAAATTTGGAAACAAAAATAGAGAATTTGAAGATGAAGCATATTAATTTATTTTACCAGCATTGTATGCTTCATTATGTTAATGTGGCAATAATATTTGGCAACAAGATATGGATTGTATGGAACTACCCAAAGATTATCCAAAATTTGCCCTCTTATTTTCACTTGATTACCATCAGCATGACGCTTGTATATTGGGTATGAGTCTTTGGAAGAGCTTGTTATAGGTTCAAAATTTTTAGGATAATGAGTTTTGCATTTTCCATCTTTCATGCAAATGTTGTTTGGATTCATTTCACCACAAGGTCCATGCATAATGTGTTTTACCACCATAGAAAACAAATGAGGATGCTTTTTTTTATCAGAAAGTTCAGTAGATACGATTGAATCATAATTATCAGGAGATAAAAGCTTTTTGTCCAGGTGCTAGAATTAACAATAGATGCATATGTGTAAGATCTCTCTTTTGAAATTCAATGGCATAAACATATGCAATGACTTTCCCAAAGATTTGATATTTTATGATGTCATCCTTTAGTTGTTCCATTTTTGCTCTGAAAACATGAGAGGTTAAATCTGGTTTATTTTAAGCTTCCTCATTAGGTTCTAATTCAGCTTTAATCTCTAGCCATGCTGGGTTACAAGTCATTGTAAGAAAGATATTAGGTTTGCCAAATCGCTGGACCAAAGCTGTAACGCCCCCAAAATAATTACAATAATCTAACTCCAAGCACCAGGACAAAGTGATAAAGATACAATAAGAAGCTTCCATTAATCAGAGTTATATACAAAAGGTAACACATGCGATATACATTCATAAATCGTTCATTCTAAATCTACAACATGTGTTACAAGACGTAAATAAATAATAAAGCTAAACAGATATTCATATGTTCTAATGGCTTATATCTTTCCAAGACTGTGCTTGATTACAACAAAATGAGTCATAAGCTCAGTACGAATAAGCCCTAGGCTTGTACAAAAGGAAAATACAAAATAAACAAAAGTGAGTGTCACGACCCAAACCCGCCCCTATCGGTTTAGCGTTGTAACTGGTGAGTAATCCTTGGATTACCAAAGGCCTCTTGACAGAACAACATATAGTAAGGGGCTACGAAAGCAAATATAGAGAATATATAATGTCCATAGAGCTGTGTTAACATATATGAGACGGAAATCTTCAAAACAAACTTGTAAAAATATATATAACGTCATAAATACATTAATCGTACGTCACCCATTCATAAAAATGAAACCAAAAGGGGACTTAGCCCAGTGTATAGATAAGCAAACAAGCAAAAACATCTATAGTAAGGTTATAAACTAAACATCTCGAAAGGGAACCTCTCTGAGAGGCATAAAAGGGTGGCTAACAAAAACTGAGACGCCAGGTCCTCAACTCGAAGCCTGGTCACGTGCATGCTCACCTACATACATAAAATAAATAGTAAGCTGGAACCCAGTGAATAATAACAAAGTAAAGGGTTTTAAATGAATGATATCCATAACAGGTACCGAAATCAGAGTTCATAATAGAAGCAGATATATTCATGTTCTTGTTCAACTACATATAGAAATGAGAGTTCATGCTTCGTTATACATGGTACATCCATTAGCATTAACTTGCTTGGTAGTTCCATTGGGAACCTCCAGTATCGGGAAGAACTTATAACTTGCTTGAACCATGGTATTGTTACCCCCAGGTAAGGGCCATGAGACCACGGTATTATTACCCTCGGGCAAGGGCCTTGCTCATAAAGGCACGGTATTGTTACTCCCGGGCTAGGGCCTTGTGCTAAGGATGCCACGAATACATTTCAAAAACTTCGACAATCATTCATTACACAGAATATAACATTTCATAAAACAGATCTTAATTCATATCATTCAAAAAATAATTAAAGTTAAACATAGCTTTACTAAGTTATTACTCACAGATGGCTCCACTTGTAGAACAAGCAAATCAAATAACTTGAGGCGCGTGACCTACACATACATAGCAGAAACACATAATGAAACACACACTCGGTTGGTATTTAACTTCTTTCGTTTCATTCTTAGTGTGTTTCTAAGTCTTAACCTCTTATTGAGTCTTAATCATGGCCTAGGAGTACCTAGGATACAATGAGGATGCCAAAATGCACTTGAACACATTTAACAAAACTTGCTGAAAACAGGGTCCCGCTTGAGTGCAACTTCCCTCGCTCGAGCGGACATGAAAACATGTGAAGGGATGCTCAAGCGCAACTTCCCCCGCTCGAGCAGTCTATAAACTTTGCAAAAGTACTAGTTGTGTGAAATCTCCACTCGATGGCCGCTCGACTCTTGCTTGAGCGTGAGACCCAAGCCCCCGCTCGAGCGTAACTTTTGTCACTCGAGTGGTCTGCAAAACATGCAAACTTCTAGGAGCATACATTTCATGCTTGAGCAGACTTAAGGTCGCTCGAGCGGATGTGCAAAAACAAAGGTGGCCGCTAGAGCGCAGAATCTGTCACTCGAGCGGAAGTGCAAAATCTGAAATTTCCAAATTGCACTCTTAAGCTCCAAACTCGAATTCCACACCTCAAAACTCATTTTCTTGGGCCAAAATTCTAGAAAACATTTAGGAACTTCTAAAATATCATGATTTGAAGATCATTTCATGACATCAAGGTACAAAAGCACGTCAATTGTGCAAAATTCAACTTGAAATGTAAGAACATGATATGAACATGACATACATATATTCACTTGAGTTCATAGCTTCCAAAACATGATCAAATGAGGTCCAATGGTGAGAAATGTTATGAATTCTTCAAACCATGCTAGAATTACAACATGCATGAGAGGAAATCTTTGAAAACAACTTCAAAATGCTATGAAATATGCATGCATGTATGGAATGACTTAACTTTCTTCAATTCTAGCTCAATTCCCATATGAATTCACCTAATTCACTTGTTTCCATTCATTAATCAACTATATTACAAGGTCAAAGACTAAAATTTTCTTACCTAGAGTTTAAATTGCACAAGTGTAGACCTTCAACTCCCAATTTTTTGCAAATCTCCTACAATTCTTAGCATTCTCCCTTTTTCCTAGCTTTGAGCTCAATTTTTCTTCTATCCTTCACTCTCCCACATTTTTAATGTTCTAAGGTGAATGGATGAGTTTTTAAGTGGAGTGTTATGAGACAAATGAGCCTTATATAGGCTTGGTTAGAGAGTTTAATTAATTAAGCTTACCACTAATCAAATGGGTACAATTTATTCTAATTAATTCGTTCCGAATCAAATTTCAATGAAACTTATTATAAAATTCTAAAAATTTTAATTAACACAAAAACTAAGTCAATTTCTGAATCGGATGCCGATAAGGCCTTCAATTCGCAAACCGAAATGAAAATATGAACAGATCTTTCTACATTAAACAAACATAAACACAAATAAGGCAACATATGATGCAAAATTTCACTTTAATTACTTATTAGACATAATTAAGCATGGATTAACGTTAATCATAGGTCGGGGTTATTACAGTGAGCTTTCAACTCAATATCTTCCCAAGCTAAGTCCTTAGCGGAGGCATATAACCAACACCTGAAAATGGTTTTTCCCAAATAGGGTCAGCCAAAGCCTAGTAAAAACAATCTAACACAATATATGAATCATGGCAAAGATATAAGTAAAATGTGTATACAGAATGCCTGCAATGTAATCATTCATAATTTATAAGATCATAGTATGCCAAGTTTCATATATCATTTCATTGATCATATCCATTTCATTCAATTACCCAATACTGAGAATACAACTCATCGGGTCACAAATCAATATAGTTATCATACAAACACATTCATTGTCCATTTTACGAAAATTTCGTCTGCGGGATCGGCACCTATGTATACAAGCGGCTTTCGGAACTTTCACCCTGAACATACTGGCCAACTTAATTCACTAGAGTCCATCCCCTTTCTCCTCCCAAACATGGAGTACATCCATTTTCTTCTCTCAAACATCATACATATACAATGTATTAAAACACAGTCATGTTCAATGATAACCAATAAGAGATTAGTTTCAATTCACCTAATTCTTATGCAATTTCTACAACAATCATAGCTATTCTCCACCGATAGCCCTAAACAGATATTTCTAAACAGATATACAATCTCCACGACAAATAAATTATCTAAATTTCCATAAGTGGGGGATAATACACATCCAACTCCACCATTGATATAAACATTTGTCTAATTTCAGATTTCCAATGCCAATTTTATAATTTATACAAAATAGTTATTTTAAACATTTTAGGGCAAAACTCCATTATCTCTCAAATCCAACCTATGTGTCAAAATCAACAAATTCAACACAAAACATCCTTATTACCATACCCATAACCATTTTCAATACCTTCATTTGAAAATCCCTCTTTTGATGTTAAACCAAAAACCTAGGTTTGTCTAAAATCCTCCAATTCCCAACATTAGTTACACAATAACAAATAACTGAGTTAAAAATCATAGGAGAGTGTAGAAAATCCGTACCTCAAGCTTAGAAAACCAAGGAAGAAGTGGAGGAACTTTGAAGATACCGAAATCAAGATCTATTCAGATCAAAACGGAGCTCTTGAGATGCTCTACCTTTTTCCTTAAGACACTAGGGTAGGAAAACCAACGGATCTAGGTGAAAATGTAGAGAGAGAGTGAGTTTTAGAGAGTGAAGGTCTCGATCTAGGGTTTAGAGTGAAAAAGTGATGTAAAAAGATGCTGATACAAATTGATATACGCATAATCTGCTCGAGCGCAAGAGTTGATGCTCGAGCATCAAACATAATAAGTTGTTTCGCTCGAGCGCAGAATGCATACTCCTAGTATTTTTGCAGATAACAGACCAACGCTCAAGCGCAA